TCTCAGTTTGTCAGGGGCCAGTCGTCGTGCTTTAGATGTCACGGGCTGTCCTGAGGTTATGATGTGGTGCATAACATTGCTGGTTATACACGGGAGATCGCCAGATGGGCAATTGAGTTCCGGATATTTGTCAACAATCGGTTGAAAAGTTGGATCGAGGATTGCTTTCATCTTAACGATTGACAAGCTGGGGCCTACGTAAGTTATGCCCTTGATAGACAAACTAGTAGTGTTGTCAATTAGTCGTTTACGGCGGACGTCTACGAGCAAATCATGATGATTAAGTAGGTCCGTGCCAATGATGGGCATTGTGACGTCAGCGATTAGGAAAATCCACTGAATAGGTTTGCGTAAACCTACGTTCAGATAGACGTATTTCCGTCCATAGGTTGCAATTGGTTTTCCATTTGCAGCCTGTAGGTTGAAGTTAGGATCCTTCTGTCGATCTGCTGCTGTAGCAGGAAGGACGCTGACTTCGGCGCCTGTGTCGACTAGATATCTAGTCTGACTAATTACATCGTGGATGTAAAGTAAGCGGCTAGTGCCACCGGCGACGGTTGCCGCTAACGCGTGCCGGCGGGATAGTTTCCCACAGACTTGGAGGCTTTGCCGAAATCACAAGGTTTTCGACAACATTTCGCTTCCTTGCCATAGGTGTTGTGATACCAAAACCAGTCAGGATTTTTGAGAGAGCGTGTGTTGGACTTAGATCGTCCACGTGCGCTTTGCCGGTGAGGGGATTTAGAACGACGATAGGAGGAATTGCTAGGCTTGTTTGACCTAAGCATCCGCTGGACGGAGTTGATTAACTCTATCATTGCAGAATCCTTCTTCGAAGTCTGTTCGGTAACAGAGTATACTTCGGTAACTGGCCGTTTCGTTATCTCTAGAATTCTATCTGCAGAGACAGCTAAATCATCTATGAGAACACCCTGAAGTGTCACAAGTACAGTCTGAACTGACTGTGGCAGTTTGGATAAAAACAGTTCTCTAAACAGTCTTCCATCGAACTGACTTTGGCCAATGATCTGTTTCATTCTTGCCAGCATGCTCACGGCTGACTGATCTCCTAACTCGATGTTACGAAATAACTCATCCAGACGTTGTCGATCCGCGAGAACGTTTCTCATGAGGAGGGATGCTTTGAGCAACTCGTACGAGTTACTTACCGACATCTGCAGAGTTACGCACCTGCTGAATTCCCGCGGTAGGGCGTGAATAACTGCAAGGAACTGTGAACGTTGATCGGTTATGCCATGCTCACAAAAATCGGAATCAGCAATCTGAAACCATGTTTCAGCATTATCTGGCCAATATGGTACGAGCTGAATTGTTTTGGCGGTTGAGCGAATCCGAATAACCTTGGGGCTAGGGTCACTCATGACGAAATGTATGCCGATAACAATATAGTACAAGAATAAACACAAAAAGGAACAAACTCACCGGGTTTATCTGCGTGTGAATTGAAGATGAAGTTCGAGGTTGGGCTCACCAGCTTAGGTGGTTACAGGTATCGACGTTCGCGAGTTGTACGGATTATACTAACGCAAGATCTTTTACCAACAACTTCCATAGTGTTCGTTCTTCGAGTACCAAATGGTAAAGCAAAAGACCAGATTTTGTCGTCCAAATACGATATATATTTCGGGACCAAATCGCGGGTAGAAATGAATGCTTAGCTAGCTAGTAATCGTGCACACACGTGACACGACGGAGTACCAAATGGCGGGGATGCTTGACCGTAAGCCTTCAGCTAAACAAGTCCACTTAAACAGTGATGGTCGGCGTCCAATGTTGAGTGATGATTGCTGTGGTTAATAATTTTGGGGAATTATTTACCGCTACAAGTTCTACCTCAAGGTTGAGTTGTAAACAACCTGGATATGGCTGGTACTAATGTCTCCTCTGGTGACTGGCTAATTTTGTGAATATTTACTTCAAGCTTTTTTTTCCCAGGCACTTATAATCCATCCTGCAAAGACCTGGTTTTTTTGTTAATGCGAAGACAATACTCCTGTATTTCCTGTTGTGTTGCACTCACTGACAATCTAGCAGATATTTCCAACTTTGCACAGAAATGATTGTGTATAAGTGAAAACGCTGTTTTATATTAATAGGATTAACATTTATCAAGTGTATGTATAATTTCCAGCGAACATGTAAAGCATATCTTGCTACTGCCTGTAAATTGTGATTGAATTATATGGTTCTATTTCTGTAACAATTTGATGATACTTGTAAACTGGCGTCCCTCATGTACTGCACTATGAGAATAAATTTATTTATTTATTTATTTAATACCATCTACGTCTACGCAAATTCCAGCCCTATGCGGGATCGTCTAAAAAATCAGCTTAACAACACTGTGAGTCTTAAATATTAGCGGATTTTATTTTACGGTTCTGTTATTATAATCCGTTGTATTCGTATTATTCTGAACCATCTATTATAATTAACTACTGCCTCTTTTTATGCATATATAAACATAACTGTGTACCTTTATGTATTTTTCTCTTCTCGTACCATTTCATATTGCCCCTTCGTTTCATATGTTTATAACCAAAATCTAGAAGGTAGACTGCAAATCTCTGATTTCCTTACTTTCTTATTGTACATATATATTTCTAAAATGCTGTTAGGGATGATACATACAAAATGGCTGACTGAAAGTAATCGTTCATACCATGAGTTTCGTTGAGTTAGTTAGAGAAGGCAAAAACTGTCTGTATGACACTTAGCAATAAAAAATTCTTTTTCTAAAAACAAAAGGAGTATTTCGCCAGGGCCTAGCAGATTAAAAGGTGGGAGGGCGGTGACCGCTATTCAGCGGATATGATGGTGGGGACATAAGAGAACCACCCTTATCTGTGGGAATGCGCTCTATTGCTAAGGCTCCTGAGTGTGAATGACTTCAAAAAAATAATAATAATAAAATAAAAGCTGCCTGTATGACAAAGCTTGTGTATAAACTCCTTGAAAACAAGCTCATGGTACGATTTCTTTACTTCAGGAGGACATCTGTATAAATCAGAATAACAGCATAAATAAGTATCATCACTCTTTTTGTTTTTCTTTCCTTCTACATATTTTATGTAATTTGGCGTTTGGATTTAACTCCCTCAACTTCTATTCCCACTACCCTATATAGGTGTAAAAATCATTATTCGTTTTGCCCTTATGTTTTTAAAAAAATTTGTTATTCTATATTTTTTGTTGTTTACTACCACAAACTTGGACTAACTGTTAGTATGTTACACTATAAACTCAATGACTCCAAATTATTAGTAAAAAAATAGGGGAATAAACCCTGCGTTTACCGCATATTGTTTGCTTAAATTATTATTATTTGCTGGCTGACTCTGCACCTCTCTTTCTGTTTTCTCCTTCCTTCTCTTCTCGAAGGTATTGCATTGATGCACTGCAAATGAACAGTAATGCTGCTTTCTACGTTTTTATTACTTGAGCGTTATTCAGAATAATGTTGGCACACACAACGAACAACGGAAGAAATTCCATTCTGAGTACCGTTTGTCATCGCAAAGTTGGTCCCTTGTGTCTGTTATAACCAAAATAATGCTGTACTTACCCTCTACTATGGAGTTTTTTTTAATTTTTGAACCCTTATTAATTGACAAAATGATAATGATCACAAGGCCTGTATCCTGTATGTCGTACTCTAGCACATGTTAATCACCTCTCTTCTTACCTTCCATTAACGCAACATTTCGTAATTACCGCATGAATTTAACCGACTATAAGTATATTATAGACTATAAATTAGACTTGAACCAATATATTGTAATCTATTCTAACAAAGTTTCTAGAGGTTTCTTTTCCGTTTTTCCAATTTTTGATGTCAAAAAAACGGTGTTCCATTTCAAATTGCACTTGTCAAATATGATCATGCCTGTACAAACGGTATGTTAATCATGTAAATGCTTAATTTATGTGAAATATATATTATTATTATATATTATTATATTGTGTAGCGAGGGCATATGCGGTCATACACTTTACACATAGACAGTTAGGTGCACGCACTCTTGAGCTCTTTCTAGGGTTGTACAAAGCATGCGTCAGACCACACCTTGAAGTGCACAGTATCAATGCACCCCACTGCTTAGAAGAGACGCCACCCTCTTGGAAAGAGTCCAACGACGGGTAACAAAAGAAGTTGTTGGTCTCCGAAATAAACCATATAATGAAAGGCTGAAGAAATTAGGCCTATTCACAATTAGCTACCGTCGTCTTAGGAGGGATTCAATTACTGCATACAAAATGACAAATGACCAGAATCACCCAAAAAAGGTGTTCTGCTGTCGATTAGGCATAGGCTCCCTAGTGGAAATCATAGAAGGATAGCTTATCAGAGGGTAAGAACACGGGTGCACTCAAACTTCTTTCTCCTGTGGGTTTGCCGTTCCCGGAATTCCTTACCGCCTTTAATCGAAGGCTGGACAACCATGCAACGACACAAGGATTGAATCGAAATGGCCTATCCCCTTAAAATCGCACACACCATTCAAGGGTAGAAAATTAAACTTGTCGTTTTACTTCTTTAAATTACTCTCCTGACAGCTTTAACTACACTTTTTATTATTTATACCGGTATATGTATATATTATTCATATTATTCTTCAAATTTAATCAGCTGACTGTTGTTACCTTTTCTTATTATTTTCTGTCTGTTAGTCTGAATAACTTCACTAATTATATCTATTATTATTACTTTTATTATTACCTCTTTTCTTTCAACGACGATACCAAAGGACTAACTCCGTTCACAGTTGAAACAAAGCCTTAACACACCGCATACTACAAACCACATGCAATTAATCCCTGCACTACTCCTTTTGCAGTCAACCAAAGCTACGACAGTTGAGTGGTGGAACTAGCTACGCAGAAGTTTACCGAAGATCAGGAACCTATATCTCACAATCAAGAGGCAAGCACAAAGAAATCAAATTTTTTTATACCAGCTCGCAAAAGCGATATTGGATATTGGAACTGCGCGCGTATGTTAATCTAAGCGCTACTCTTCTACTATATTTCGCTGCGCTAGATTGTTCAAGTCAAATAGCAGACTCTCTTCGTCTTCTTTGCATTCTCGCAGCCACTTTAAGGATTATGTGATCGCATGAGCGTCGCTTGTCTTCGCACGTGTATGAGAATAATTCCAGATATACAATATATGCTTAGAAATTTAGAAATATTATAAAGATATTCCATTATATTTCATTTGGGAGTTCAAAAGCACACTTTTCTGTCTAGATAACAGCAAGATTTGAATCCGAAGGCAACAGATCTGGCAATAGACAGCCATCTTAAAAATTTCAACTTTGAAAGTTGTTAATTTTCAACTGAAATTCAAAAGGAACAGCGAAATGACTATAAAAGTCTGTAATAACACAGCATTGTGAACAGTAAAACTTACGGTGAGTTGTTTCACCAAGGTGTTTTGATAGTTGTGACAATTCGCTAACTGGGTTTAATGACATTGTATAATATTTTTCTTTCTAATTGTAAGCCTTTCCAAAACGTATCTGGAGAGCTGCCTTATTGGAAAACTCTGGATGTTTTGGGTTAACTAGGTATTTTAACAGTTTGTGAAGTAGATGTGTCAGATCAAATCTGGGCATCGGTACGCTAAATAGTTTCACGTAAATGAGGCGTCTAACCGGAGGTCTAACTTACTTATGTAATACAAGTTTGTTCTTGGTCATATTTGATATATGATAACTCTTCATAATATCAAATTCCTCAACTTGAAGTATGCAGAGTGCTGATAGCTGTCGAAAGAAGTGCACTTAATGTATTTAATTGCATCTTTATTCAGACCATCGTTTTCCTATAGTAGAAAAAGTGATTAACGCTAAGATTAGGCGTATAATACTTGGTGACAAAAGCAAACCAGTTATATTGGTTTAATGACCATATGGTATATGTGATATTTATACCCACTTAATGTCTACTTGGGATTCTGTATTGAAATTCGGTTGATAGAAGGCTAAGAATGATCTGACCGAAACACTAAATCGAATCATGAAGTCACTAACCATTACTGGTTTGGAAAAGGACTGTGTTTATGGAAATTTATATGAGTGGAAAGAAGTAGTTGTGATAAAAGGGTGTTTATCTTCGTTTTAATTTCTAGACGATAAACCATTTATATTCATTTTGGTTTATACCTGGCCATTTATTGCTTTTCGGATACTGTTACCGTAGAGTAAACAATTCTGCCAGCTTAAATATTCCTATATTGATCTAGAAGTAAATGCAATAAAATCTTTGTGAACGTAGATCATTCTGGAAATCATGTAGTAAGTGGTTAGTTCTCTTCTGACTGACTGTTATTATTATAAAAAATATATTCTGAGATATTGTAGTGCAAACATGGAAGCTATTCATTTTATAATGCTATACTCAGTTGGTTAGTGCATATGTCCCACAATCCCATTCATTGCTAGACAGTTAGCTCAAGCCACTGGTTGTTGAATCCAACCAGTCAGTCATTGCTTAACCCACTTTTCAGATGTAGCTGAAGTAGGACTAAGTTCAAAAAACTCAAGTATAAATAAAGTGAAATGTAAAACTCAGTTATGAATTCATTGCGTGTTATTGGAAGTTGCTGAATGAACTATCAGTTTCTCAGCTGATATTGCTAAGAATACTGATTTTCTTTGACCGTACAGACCTTGGTAGATCAAATAGGTAGGAATATACTTCTTCACTTAACCTAGCTAGTATTGTTTCGATTACAGACCTCATGGATAGGGATGTCAAAGGTAAGATGGGAAAAGCAAAACAAACATTTATTAATCTGAAATCATTGTGGACATATACTGCCCTCAACCTGGAGAACAAGATTTGGATTTTCTATATAGTTCAGAGACTTGGCACGCACGTCATCACACACCCCAACCTCAAAGGGAATCGGAATGGGAAACACCCAGTTGGTCGTATGTCTGAGGGTGACATTGAGGAGGTCGTGTGAGAAGAAAGTAGAAACTTATGCAACAGGTGAAATTAAAGTACCTAAATCACGAAATCACAGGTTCTTTCCAAACAGTACACACTGAGCAAACACTGACCACGGTTGTCTGAGCAAGGTTAACGAGCACCATGACGATATCTTCACTCTCTATTAATGCTCTGTCAGTTATGATCATTTTTGAGTTTTGTTGCATTTAAACAATTATGTAACTCTGGAAGTGCAAGGTTGATTCACTAAAATGTATTATATCATATATACTATACTAGATTGTAAAGCGTACTGGGAAGCGAATTTCCGATAAGAATCATTCGTAACTACTGAGGCATTAAACACTGTCTTCATTTTACTCCTATGCTTCCCGAGTAGAACATAAGGCTCCAAGCTTGATCTTTGAAGTTTCAGTAGCAGCAGAATTATTTTTTTTTACGGGGTAGGGTTTCCAGCCCCTCTTTCCCGTAGTACTACTGGCTAAGCAAGGCTAAAGGTTGCCTCGGCTGGGGATCGAACTCTGAACCACATCCATGGTTGGAAAGGATTTTACCACTGAAACACTGACGCATGGAATGATGAAAAAGGCATCAGGGATCTTAAGCCGGTGACCTCTGGATCTGTAGTTGAATGCTCTACCAGTGAGCTATATTCCTGACATTAAGTGATATGCGTACAAAATACCAGCTTTTTCATCACTTTGAAACTGTGCATCTCTTGAAATAATCCTTTCTGCCTTTTGTGTTTTGATCATTTCAGATTACTTATCAGCAATGTTTTTGCGAAATTAACCGAACGACTCATTTTTGTATAAAAATACGTCCATGAATAATGTAGTACTTGGCAGTATTATCTTAATTTGTAACATTATGGTATGCAATGTCAGTGCAAATAATTGTAAGTTAAACTTTATTATCAATAATGAATAAAATGCTTGTAGATGTTCTACTCTCCAGATTCGATAAATTATGCAAAGAAAGATATGATAAAGGATTTTTAACAAGTTTTGTAGTTGATGATATTACAATTCGTGAACAATTGATGTTATCATGGCCTGGAGAGTTAAACACACCATTGGAGAACCCTAAATATGCTATATGCCCTGGTTTGGTTATTCATCCTTCAGGTCGTTTTGTTAAAAGAGCTTTTCCAGAAGGTCTAGTAAGTTTCATTTTTGTAATATTGGTAATGAATTAATGCTTTTATCAGGGAAATTGACTATTGTGACATTTAGATCTTCCAGCTGGAGGCCTCTTTGTCGATTTTAAGCTTAGGGTTGGCATATTCCTGATATAAATAAATATAAAACTTTGGCACTGTAGTAGAGCATAACTCCATTATGGATATCAAGCTGATATGGTTATTAGCAATAGTTCGTGCCCGAAATATCATCAGTTATTATTACTGTATAACACTGTGTGATTTATCAAAATAAAATCTTATCCATAATGGAGCTAGCATATTCGTATCATAAGATTGGTAAACAAAGGGTCTGATGTGAAAATAGGTAGTATTTATCAGGTTTCAAGTCTTTTCAACAGAAATGGACACTCTTTTACTGATTTGGAACACATTCTGGATTTTTCGAAATCCACTTTGGTCACAGTGTTGATTTGTTATTAACGAAATCTCATTGTTAATGCGAAGATTGGAATACCGTCCGGATTCCCAGGCTGACTGTTTGGTTTTAGCGTAGAACTTTGCACCGATGTGCAGCAGTCCGAGTCGCCACACTCCATGTAGCACAGAAAGCAAGAGAAGAAAGTAAGTGGAAATGAAAAATAGAGATAGTAAAAAGAGATATGAAGCAAAAACAATAGTAATATTGAAGAACAATATAGTTTCACTGGGTATTATAAGTCACAAGGGGTGGATGCATCTGGACCAGCCATTGAGAACTGTTTTGAACCATAACACCGATAATTGTCTCCAGCCTTCATTGGTTTTTATCGTCCCGACTACCCCAACCAGCCAGGAAGTCTCGATCTTCTTACGTGGTTGGCTTAAACTAACTGTTATGGATTTCATTGACTGATGCCATGTCCAGACTGAAGTGGGTGGTTGTCTTAAGTAGCCACTCGCGAGATCTTCGCCCTAAAGTCTGATGCACAAGGCAGTGCGGCAGGATCAGCAGGTGTGTTCCCATGGTTTCCAGTGACCAAACCGGCTCTATACATCATCCAATCCTTTCGAATTCTGCAGCCCATTTATGCCGGCATAGGTTTGCATTCAGGGTTTCCCAGCTGTCATAGTTTGACCAGGATGTGTACTAAACCGGTTCCAAGCGCCATACTTTCGCGTTGTGTTGTTGGAGCCATTTGTCCCACTAGGAACCCAAGGGAATAATAATAATAGTAATACAATACGAAAAGGAAAACATTTAGAAAATTGGATGTGAATAGAAAGAGCACAGGAACAAATATTGAAACTTGTATTATGTAACAGGTGTACAAAGTGAAGAAAATGATGTTCACAGTTGTAATGCCAAGAATACAGGACAAAAATAGTAACACTAACAATAGGTTGATAACAGTTGATCTTGAAATAATGTCCAAGGTAGAAGAAGTGCGTGGGGGATTTTGTTCTGTGTGCACAAATCTGAGTTTTCATATATGAGACTGCCTAAGGCCTCAGTAATTCAAAGAATATAACTTTTGGCTTCCTCTGACTTTGTACATAACTTTGAATGAGTTTTCTTTAGATATTAGGCGACCAGTGTTGAATATGTGTTCAATTATAATACAACGTATTGATCTGTTATGGCTTCTTTGTTGCCATGTGGGAGAAGGTTTCTCGGCTTTTATAGATGAAACATGCATTGAATGACCTATTTATCACGCTGCATTGGAGAAAGTGAATGGGCAGAGGTACATATAGAAATTGTCGAATTCGAGCTATTAGTGAACATTGGACAACAGGAGGATACCAATCTCAATGAGAGAGGTTTTAATATTCTCTACTGTAGAGTGTCAGTGTAAAGGTCGCCTTTGAACACTACATTTATGCGTAACATCTTCTTTGGTACAGGGATGGAATTTTATTTGTTGGGTTGTTTGAGTTTCATATGTTTCTCTATAGAGCATGGGGAAACCTATTTTCAGCTGGAATCTTCTTCAAAAGAGCGATATCTTCATGTAACCACTGTGAGCTGCTGATTCTTCGGATTTGAGCGACAAGAAGTATTATCAGGTTTCTTTTGCGGATTTTGAACACCCAGATGTAGAACCATTTTACGTGGAACTGTGTCCGTATTCATCTATTCAATATTCCATTAGGCTTCTTTGTAAATTGGATGTCAAGAAAGGAAATAGTTTGTCTGAGTTCCACCTAAATAGTTAGTTTGATGGTTGGTTGACAACTGTTGAAAACCTGTAGGACATCGCTTGGGTCACATAATCACAAATGATAACAGTATCATCAACATACTTTTTTTTACGGCAAAAGCAGCTGTTGATAGTCGATTTAAACGGACTGTTTTTCAAAATTACCATAAAAATGTCTACAAGTATCGGATCTATAGGTGATCCCATGGTTACGCTGTCTTACTGGCTAGAAATCAAACCATTGCGCCGTCTAAGTACAAAGTAGTGTTACAAGATTTGTAGAAGCCTGTACCTGCACTCACTCTTGCAGGTGAACCACTTGTCGATAAGTTCGTGTGTCTAGATAGTTGTGTGAGTGCTGGCGGAGGTGTGACGGATGAGATTTCAAACCATTTCCTAAAAGCTAGGGTAGCATATGCCAATTTGAGCCACCTGTGGCGCCATTGCGACGTTAGTCTGGCTTTCAAAGCTCGGATTTACAATGCCTCAGTGTGCTCAGTCTTGCTCTACGCCTGCGTGACCTGTCCTCTTTGAGCTGACGATGTGGACCGACTCTGACTATTCGACCATCTCTGTCTCCGTAGAATTGCTTTGAGTTCATGTGAGTAATTCTGAGGTCCGGCAGCGTGTGTTTAGACACAGTGGAGGTAACCATTCATTGATTGTCGTCACTTGCAAAAGTCGGCTTCTGTGGCTTGGAAATTCGCTACAAATATTATTCCAGAGAATTCCCTATCGGTCTCTGTTTGTTAGCCCTGTGACGGGATGGAAAAAGCAGAGAGGTGGTCAACTCGTGACGTAGTGTCGTGGAAAGAAGGATATTTGTGTTAGGTTAGCATGAGTTGGTACATCACGACTCCCTGGTTAGGGTCCAACAGATAGTTTGAATTGATGGCTCGAAATGGTATTGGATATGGCTAAGAGTTGCAATCAATGATGAACTTGCTGTAATATCCTTCGTTTTAACTTTTCTGACAACAGTTCGACGAATGTTGTTTAACCTCGGTGAATATAGCTGTTTCCTTTCCGGATGAATTCTTTTGTTCATTCTCCACCTACTTTTTCATGTGTTATAGTTTTATTATCATTGTGTGGCGCATCTTCTTAGTGCCTTATATTGTACCAAGTTTTGTGTTTTAAATAAGTTCTTTCAATCAGAAAGTCGGTATTTCAGCATTGAAGCTGTTGTCGTACATATATTTCTATACGAACTAAATCATCCTCGTAATTCGGACATTCGTAAGGAATGACTTGACATCAAGTAATATGATGCAGTTGTTATCTGCATACACCTTAATGCAGTCAAATTCGCGTTCAAATTTCTCACGAATAGAGTACCTTGAAGTTTATTCCCTTACAAGTTCAACAGCTCAAGTTCAAGTTACCACACTCTATGTGGCACAGAAAAATAGAGAAAAGAGAAAAAACAGAAGAAATTCAAAAGGACGATTGTTAGACGAAATGTTGTGGGCGAAAGAATAGTAACATGGAAAGACATTTGGGTTTTCAAGTGTTGGTTTGCAGGGATTTGATCGGTTAAAGGATTTCATCATGAACTGACATCGGTTAGAGAACCGTTAGAAAACCACCAGGGAATACTGAACAGCCAGCTGTTTCGTCAGCCTAATTTGGGACTCATCGACAGTGCTCATCAACCACCGACAGAGTTTGGACCCAAGACCTTTCAGTTACAAGGCTACCGAGCTTGTAGACCATTCATCAGCCACTAGAACCCAACCCAAGCCAATGGCTATTCCATGAATTCCAGTTGCCGCCAATTCACGGGATAGCGCGACTAACACTAGCCAATGTCAAAGGTGGCAAGTATTTGTCCCTATACCCGACTTGGTGTACTCTACTGGTGACAACTTCCCACTAAAACCCAGGTAACTGCCTACCTGAATAGGGCCAGTCGCTAGTGAGTATCAGATTGATATTTAAGTGTTGGGAAGACAAATACTCATCAGTGATGAAATTGGCTAGTGCCAGTCGCACTATATCGTGAGTTGACAGAAGTTGGGATTCCGTGACTGACAATTTTGTATCGGGTTAGGTTCCAGTGGCTTAATCGTTTACGAGCTCGCTGGCCTTATAACTGGAATGTCTTGGGTTCTAAATCTGTCGATGGTGGGTTCGCGCCGATGAAGAGTCCCATACTAGGAGGACGAGACAGTTCGGTGTCCAGTGCTCCATAGTTTGCTTTCCAACGGTCCTCTGACCGATTTCAGCTCATGATGAAATCCTGAAGCATAACGGTTTATTGGATATAGGAGACCACAAGGAATGAATACATCTTTTTCAAGACCTTTTTTATTTGCTTCTCAATTATATCTTAGTGTTATCCTCCTGTATGTTAGATACAGAGAATTTGTTGTTGTTGTTGTCGTTTATCCTGCTGTCTCAAAATATTGCCACACCTTTTTGTCTGTATAGTTAGAGTTTACTAATGCATTAAGACTATGTCTGTACTCTTATCAGGGTGTGTGATCAGAAACTTCTTTGTTACACTGCAATTATTATTACTATTAGTACTATTTTTCTCTTTTTGTATTCTTGCTGTTGGCCTTTTATTACTATTAGCACTTGTTACGTGATAATTTTTGTTTTCCATACTTGTCTGTCTCTATGGTGTTTCCATTAACATCCAGTGTGTTTCTTAAATGTTCTTTCCTCCTGTTGAATTCAATGTCTAGTCTAAACGCACCAAAATCATTTCGTCTCGCTTAGTTACATCTAGATCAACTTTCATCATTCTGAAATATTTTGATGATGATGTTGATGATGATGGTGATGTGAACAATAATCCTAACTAATTCGTCTTTTTATTGCTTTTGGCTATATTTTGTAAACTGAATGCACATGCATACATTCACAGCTAAATGAATGAATATATATAGTCGTCGGAAAGAGCCTCCTCACTAAACTGTATGTTCTTATGCCCATGAGTTGTTTTTCTCCCGATTATTATGAAGTGAAATAGCTAAATATGTCTTAACCCATTGATATTTTTGAAGTATAGAATGAAGTCGCTATTAAATGACTGGGGGAAGTTGGCAGGAAGCCTTTCCTCGCCTAGGTTTTATGCTAGTTGGCATTCACCAGTCTCAGTCAGGTAAGGCGTATCTGCACCCTTGAAGAAACTCATGTCCCTTATTCTGAGATCCGAACCCGCGTCACTCAATGTTGCAGTCAGTGATGGTGATGGGCTAGCGATTGGCCTCCTGTAGGACTGTATCGGATACGATGATTGGACACTAGTTAGTAACTAGTCATAACTTGTCTAGTTTTTACTGCTGGTGGTGTGACTAAATCCTGTCAGTCAAGTTTTTATTGTGGCCAGCATTTTCGGTGGTTCACTATCATGGTGTACTGTCTGACTGACTGGTTTCAACATAGAACTTTGCACCGATATGCAGCAGTTCAAGTCGTCATACTCGATGTGGCACACAAAGCAAGAGAAGAAAGTATAACGGAATGCCAAATAGAGATGGTAAACAGAGATATGAGACAAAAAGAATAGTAATATTGAAGAACAATATAGTTTCACTGGGTATTATAAGTCACAAGGAGTGGATGCATCTGCGCCAGCCAGCCATTGAGAACAATTTTGAGCCATACCCCTGATAATTGTCTCTAGCCTTCATTGATTCTTACCGTCCCGAAGACCCCACCCAGAAAGTCTACACCTTCCCATATGGCTTAAACTAACTTTTGTGGATTTGATTTACTGATACCATGTTTTAGTTCGACCACCACTGGCTCTTTTCCAACAACTTGATCGATCCAATGTCAGCTGACATTGCCTGTCGTCGGGGAAGGCGATCGATAGGCTATGCATGCGTAACACATGTCCTAACCATCTCTGTCAATCGATGTAACTTCACAACCTCCTTGACTGATTTCTCCTCAGTATTACACACCGTATACTATACTATCATACTATTCTTTAATATGACTACTTATGGTTAAGTTACTTTGCATTCAAACGATGTGTACAGCGTTTGACTTACATCATTCACTAGGGATTACAGGTACTTTCAGCTGTGAAAAGTCCTAAATAAGACGAAATGCGCTTCCTCGATTCCACAGGTAATCACTGTTGACAAAAATAATATGGTTAATACCTTAAAGTCTAATTAGCGAAAGGTTTTTTTAATTTGAATAAAACAAGAACAACAGTGGCTTGTGCAGAATAAAATGGTTCTATCATTGTTTATTTCGTTGACTGCTCATCAGCTGCTTACAGCCTAAAGATATTTATTATTAAGTTTATGTATAGGAACAGTTTTAACATACCCAGACAGTTCACGTTTGAACAAAATATCCGTATATGCATACAAGTGTAATAATAATAATAACAATCACTTTATTCCAAACAATAGTAATCATACAGAAAGGAATTTTTAGCGTTACGTAAACCAGTGAAAGAGAGGGTGAAAACATCCAGTTACCAGGATGGGCAAGGAAAGACTGATAACTGTTTCCTTCTAAACACATAAATCAGGTTTCAAGCGTTTGATTGAGATTGTTCCGGAAAACTTGAAGAGAATTGAGTTATTTCGCCTATTGATAAATTTGAATGACCCTGTGACGTCCACCTCGCGAACTATTGAGAGCACCTGTTCCCCTGAGATGTAGAAGATTTAGTACATTTTCAAAAAATTGAAGGTGTATGTGCCCTTCTTTTTGTTTTCCCAGTGTAACTGCTCCCACAAATACATGCAAATTTGTATGCACAATTAGAGTTATCATGAGAAGAGTATATGTCAACTGTTGTTTGTACCAAAGAGCATATTGTCGGATAAATGGTAATCAGCTTAGCTGCAGGATAGGCTCTGGTTAGTGACATCTTCAATCTTCTGTTGATCATTTCTGCACTATTATCACCTTAAAAATCGAGTTGAATGAAGATAGGCATTTTTTTCCCCACTGTGATTTGTTTTGACATTTAAATCTTCACATCTTCTGTACTTGCTGGTGATGAATCTCTGGAGGTAGCCGTTGTTTTTCAACATCTTTTTACTGTACACAATTATTATTAGTTTCCTTTAATTCCCAGAGGTACATAAGGCTTCAGCCGCGCGTCTCCATTGCGTTCTATTCTCCACCAACATTTTCACCTGGTTCCACGTCTGCCTACATGCTTTCATCTCCTCTTCACATCACCTCCTCCTTGTCACTCTTACACTGTCGACCAATTGACTCGCCGCTTCCCGTTCGGGTTCCACTCGAGCAATGGCTTGGCGTGTGATGTCACTCATTTGATGGTTTGTTTTCTCAGAGTATGACCAATCCACCTCCATTTCTTCCTGCATATTTGCTGCACACTTGGTTCCTGCTGAGTTGGTTCGTTCCCAGAGATCCCTATTGCTGATATTTTTTGGCTGGTCATCTGATCTTGCGTAGTATTGATCGAAAACAGCTGTTGATGATGGCTGTAGTTTGTGTGAAGTGTTTTTTACGACGCGCCAATTCTCTGATCCGTATAGTAGCGCTGACTTCACATTGAAGTTAAAAATGCGAATCTTATTTTGTCACGCTGAGTAGTGCTGTTGACCTCCACACAGACTTCAGAGAAATGGAAGCTCGCCTGTTTATGCTGATTGTTGTCTGTTGCGACTGTTGCTGTTGACCAGAAATCTTCATCACCTACCTCTGTTTTCTCTATGTTCACCTATTTTTGTCCTATTTTCGATGCTTGTTCTGCCAACTTGTTGCTTTTCATTTGCATATCTTCGAGTTTGTAGGAAATCAGACATTTATCCCATTAGCGAAATCCAGATCCTCCAAGTTTTTTGTGTGGGTCCATTTTACGCCTGTCTCCTCGCCGCCTGCCGCTGTATGTCGCATTATCGAGTCTACCGCAATCATGAACATCATTGGAGATAGTAGGCAGCCAGCTTGTCTCCATCCCGTCTTCACTTCTTCGAAGGATTCCGTGAGTTTCTCGTTGTGGATTACTTGGCATACAGCATTGTCGTTTTCTGTATATAAACTTAATAATAAATATTTTTAGGCTGTAAGCAGATCATAAAAAAACAATGAAATAAACGATGATGGATGGTATTATCATTTTACAAAGTAATAATCACTCTAATATAGAATTTTCTTTTCTTCTTCTTTTTTTTGTTTCTCCTCGAACAGGCACTCTTTTGGTTACTGAGAGCCAGTGTCCGAGTGACTTGTCCAACAAATACTGACTCTACTGATTCATTCTATCTCCAGTTAGATCAATGGATTGATTCTTTAGAATGGAGTACAAAACACTGGCGACCTGATATATCAAAAGATCACGAAGAAGATGTGACTGGTGGTTCCGCTGGTTTCGGTGAAGCAGTAAGTTACAGGGATTTTCGTGTGTGTGTGTGTGTGTGTGTGTGTGTATGCTTATTCTTTAACGGGATTTTGTTGAGAACCTTGTAACCAGAAGGTCCAGTATTCAAACCCCGGTGGGTGCGCACCGCTGAAGAGTCCCAAACTAGGCCGAAACAGATGTTCAGTACTCCCTGTTGGTTTTCCATTGGCTCTCTAATTGATGTCAGCTCATGATGAAATCCTCCATGCAATCAAACAAAAAATCCCTACAAAACCAATACTTGAAAATCAGTAAAGATAAACAAGTTCACTAACTTATCAGTTCTCGCATACTTTTATTATTATTATGCTTGAAACATTATGGGCACCAACAGATACTTCATACAATATCTCATAGTTTATGCGAGGGATAGGATACTTCATGGAGGCTGGAACCGAACTAGCCGGTTGTCTTAAGGGGCCATTCCCTTCAAGTCCTTGACTATGTATGATGTCTGACCTACAGGGTAGTGGAACAGCGTCAGGAGCTATGTTCCCATGGTTTCTGGTGATCAAAACAGGTTAATACGCAATTCAATTCTTTCGAATTGTAAAGCCCATATTTGGAATTAAGGTTTTCCAGCCCCCCCCCCGCGAGTAGACCTGCACGTCCACTGGTTTGGTTGTAAGCGTTACACGTTCAAATTCTCCCTTTCACATATGTGAGGAACACCTCTGCCGAGTGTAGACAGCGGATAGTACTTATCTGAGTGCTAGATGCTATGAACGCGAGAATTATGGCTTAAGTCTACCGATCCTTGACTGTACCAGGTCGTTTATGGAAGGTGTATAGTTGTAAGACAAGTCAATATTGCACTCGTGTTGGATTGAAGGAATGATGAATTTTCCCTACACGCAAGTTTACCTACGGCAGTCGGTGAGAAACTCTGATTCCAAACTGACGCTGGCATACATGGGTTCCAGAATCCAACTGAATGGAATTGCGTATGAATCTGTGTTGGTCATTGTCAACCATAGGAAAGTAGCTCCTGACGCTACACCACCACTGTCTCGTAGGTCAAACTTTAATTCTAGGGCTTGGGAGCTGGTGGTGACCCCTTAAAACAACCACCTACCTCGTTCCGGCCATACAAAGAGTATTCTGGAGCTCATACAAACTATTCGATTTTGTGTAGCGCATCTGTTGGTGCCCATAATGTATCCAGTGTCTGTGTGTGTGTGTGTGTTTTAATAAGTAATATATGGTTTAGTCATTAGACAGACGCAATGGATACATCTTTTTATTCCTTTACGTTCCGAGTGGAACATACAGGGTGCCTTCAAGCTAGAGGCTTGAAGTTTCGGTAGCAGTCGTGGTTATTTTTCACGGGATTGGGTTGCTAGTCAGCCTCATGCCCGACTTCCTCGACTTTACCAGTCTTATTACTGGCTTAGCAAGGTATGTAAAGGAGTGCGTTTGTGGCCGGGGATCAAACCCTGGACCACATGAGGCGGCGTGGTCAGCGAGCATCCTATCGCTGTGCCACCGCAGCTACACACGCAGTGGATATACCTATGTGACATATATATTTTATATATTTCACCCTTGAAAATGATTATTCCCTTAGTGATAGGATCCCACACACTTGTTATTGTTCAATTATCTTAACGACTGTTAATCTCGTATAAGTTGTATATTATCATTTCTCACGCATATTGTCATTGTTCAATTATCTTAACGACTGTTAATCTCGTATAAGTTGTATATTATCATTTCTCACGCATATTGTCATTGTTCAATTATCTTAATGACTGTTAATCTCGCATATGTGTTATATTATCATTTCCCAGGCACTTTGTTATTGTTCAGTTATCTTAATGACTGTTAATCTCGCATATGTGGTATATCATCATTCCCACGCATTTTGTTATTGACTATTACGACCAATTATTTCAAATACTGTTAGCTGTCTCTATTGGTTGTAAAATTGTATAAATACCATTTCCTAAATAAGTTTAGTCGTCGTTGTCGTTGTTGTAGTCGTCGTCGTAGTCATAGTTGTTGTACTACAATACACAGTCAGAGACCAGACTTTGTCTTTTGATATTTGCGTGGTTCGCTGAATCGGAAGGTACCAGAAGCAGATAGGCGTATTAGTCAGGCGCAGACAGAACAAGGCAACAACGTTCCTCATTTTAATTCCCGCTACAGTTACAACAAATTGGCGACGCGGTTTATCTTAATCCATTGCGTTATAACAATTAGCGACGGGGGTTTCACCTCAATTCATTACGGTTATAACAATTGGCGACGGGGTTTTACTTTAATTCACTGCAGTTATAACAAGCAAGCGACGACGTGTTTTATTCTGTTCAGCGCATCTATAGAACATTTTTGACTGTGCTAATTAGAACCCAATTACAATGTCTATCTCTCTGGACGATCTCAAATCCATCTTGCAGCAGCAGCAACTTCAGAATGAAGCAGCTCAACTTAAATTAATCGAAGCTCTCACTCAGAAGCTGTCAATTCAAGTTCCATCAACATCTCATTCAGATAAATACGAAAGCATCTCAAATTCCATCAGTGAATTCAACTACGACCCAATATCTGGTCTCCTTTTTGATGCATGGTTCAATCGTTATGAAGACGTTTTTCGTATTGAATGCCACATGTTTGATGATGCTGCCAAAGTCCGATTGTTACTACGAAAACTTGGTACTGTTGAGCACAACAGATATGTTAACTTCATTCTGCCTAAGAACCCACGTGAATTATCATTCGATGAGACAGTCACCGTTTTATCACAAATCTTTGGTGAACAGTCATCCATGTTTAATATTCGGTATCAATGTTTTCAGTTGACAAAAATGCCTTCCGATGATTATGTTACTTACGCTGGCAAAGTGAACAAAGAATGCGAAAGGTTCAAACCACACGAAATGACATCAGATCAGTTCAAGTGTTTGATTTTTATTTGTGGGTTGAAGAACCCTGAAGATACTGACATCAGAACTCGACTTCTGTCACTCGTGGAACAAGACCCAAAAATGACTTTACAAATGGTGACAGCAGAATGCCAACGCTTAATCAACTTGAAGCACGATACTGCTATGTTGGAGTGCAAACGACAGTCGTCTGAATTTGATTCAGTTAACACAGTGAAAAGTCCCCCGATCACCGTTAAGCACACAGCACGTCAGTCTCAGAATTCAGCTAAACCTCCTTCAGTGTGCTGGCACTGTGGTTCGTGGCATTTTGTCAAGTTCTGTCCTTTCAAGAAACATAAATGCCGTAATTGTCACCGTTTTGGACATAAAGAGGGTTACTGTACACCACAGAAAAATTCTTCGGTGAAGAACAGAAGTCGTCATTTCAAGCCGAAACAATCTTCTCGAATACAAACCGTTTTCACAACTTCCAAAGTCAATTTCGCCAGCAAACGTAAGTACATTACACTACGCATTAACGGTAAATCTATTCGTCTTCAGTTGGATACGGCATCAGATATCACTTTAATTTCCCGAACTACGTGGCGCAAACTTGGGTGCCCACAGATTCTGCCGACCCAGCATGTCGCTAAGAATGCCTCTGGAGATCTACTGAAACTCGTGGGTGAGATAAATTGCCAGGTTCAGTTTGGTGAGCAACAGTTCAATGGTGTATGTTATGTCACAAACTACCATGATTTGAATTTGCTTGGTCTTGACTGGTTAGACAAGCTCCATTTCTTCAATGTACCATTAAATTCAGTATGCTCTAATGTTTCGTCCTCACCAAATAATGTTGTTCCCGCACATGTATCTGATCAGTCTCTCTTACAACGCCTGCGTCAAAAGCACGCTTCTGTTTTTCAGGACAAACTTGGTTGCTGCAAATTTACCAAAGTGCTTATGCAAAACCGAAGGGGGAGGGAACAACAGAAGAAATTTTGCACAGATTCTCGCTGCATTATCGTACGACGCCAAATCCTTCCGCAGCCGGAAGCCCGGGACGCAGATCACAATCTATCCAGTACGCAAAGGTCAACTCGACAAAGAAGAGCTCCAAAACCTTTTCAAATCGATTCAAAAAGCAAGTCCTACACTTTTAACGGGGGGAGGTGATAGGATCCCACACACTTGTTATTGTTCAATTATCTTAACGACTGTTAATCTCGTATAAGTTGTATATTATCATTTCTCACGCATATTGTCATTGTTCAATTATCTTAACGACTGTTAATCTCGTATAAGTTGTATATTATCATTTCTCACGCATATTGTCATTGTTCAATTATCTTAATGACTGTTAATCTCGCATATGTGTTATATTATCATTTCCCAGGCACTTTGTTATTGTTCAGTTATCTTAATGACTGTTAATCTCGCATATGTGGTATATCATCATTCCCACGCATTTTGTTATTGACTATTACGACCAATTATTTCAAATACTGTTAGCTGTCTCTATTGGTTGTAAAATTGTATAAATACCATTTCCTAAATAAGTTTAGTCGTCGTTGTCGTTGTTGTAGTCGTCGTCGTAGTCATAGTTGTTGTACTACAATACACAGTCAGAGACCAGACTTTGTCTTTTGATATTTGCGTGGTTCGCTGAATCGGAAGGTACCAGAAGCAGATAGGCGTATTAGTCAGGCGCAGACAGAACAAGGCAACAACGTTCCTCATTTTAATTCCCGCTACAGTTACAACAAATTGGCGACGCGGTTTATCTTAATCCATTGCGTTATAACAATTAGCGACGGGGGTTTACTTTAATTCATTACGTTATAACACTTAGCTCTATAACACTTTTTGCCTTACAATTTTAAGTCTTTTTCTCTCTCTCCTCTGTCTTTGCCTATATTCTGTTTTACTGTCTGAAGTATACATACCCAACTGATTTTAATTATATTACATCATGCAACTGATTTTTACTTAATGTCGCTTGCGTTTTTGACAAATTTTTACTGAGATTATTACTTTGTCTGTTCGATTGTCCTGGACACATCATATTTTAATCAGTTCTGTTGTCTGGTGTCTAGGTAACGCACTATACA